GGCGCCAACCCCATATACCAGAGGTGGTGGGTTCAAACCCGGCCCCTGCCAAAACTACAAAAAAAAAAAATTAAAATGAAAGATATTTTTTCCTGAAAATTTGGGTCAAAAATGTTGGCACATTATTATATACAGGATCGCACTGTACATGGCAAAATACAGCGTTAAAGGGAGGGTTTCTATTCCTACACGGTTCCAAACATGGAGCGTGCTTTGTGTAAATAGTAGGAGATTGCGTTCAGTGGTAGGAAGGGGGGACTCTCTTGTTTTCTCCCCTTTTCCCCAACTCCCCAAACCCTACCTCAAGTCAGTAATTATAGAAATGCATAATATACACTTATTCTGTTACATTTTTAAACCAAAAGATAACTCAAAACACTGCTAGGCATAGAATGACAAGAAGAGCAGCTAAATTGTTCAGTGATTCCTGTGAGCTAGGTATGGGCTAAGCCAGCTGTTGGTGAGTATAGATTCTAAGCTGAGTTTGACTGTGATCAGAAGTTCAGTCCAAGTGGTCCAAGAGTGAGTCAGAAGCATTAGACCCCTGAAATGGGCCACAAGATTTACTTTTGGGACACCAAGTACAAACAATGGCACCAAAGTAAACAGAGTCTTGTGGCAGCTGAAAGTTGATTCAGACTGAAGTCTTAATGCAAACACCACTTCTGCACTTGAGCTTTCTAAGATAGCACTCCTCTTGACACAGGTGTGTTCAGATAAGAAGTGCTGACAGCAACATTAACTCCAATAGATAGCTCTGAATTCTATAAAAGAAAGTTTAGCAACCTCTGCCCTGCAATAATAAAGGTAGCTCTTTGGAATACACACCTTTCAGAAAATAAAAGGCTTCGCTGCTTCAGCAATGACTGGGTACTATTAATAAATTTCAGATTTATACTTCAATGAGTTAAGGAATTTTCTTTTTAATAATTCTGGGTTCTGGGTGTGATAATTATTAAAATAAGACTGAACCTCTCTGAATATTTTGGTCTCTTTTCTATAACCCCATGTGTATTCAAAGTAAGCAAAAACTTTGTCAGTATTTAGCAAATAATAGCTATTAAATAATATTTAGCACAAAAGTAGAGGTACCACCCTGGAAAGATGAAAACTTTCCCTGTAAACCACAATTCTGAAGTGCAGGGGTAAGGAAGGGTGGTGGTGAAGCTCCAGGCTCTCTGCTGCATGGGGTCTTCAGGGCTTTCTGTAGCAGGCCCATCCCAGGAGCAAGTCTGGTGGGCTCTCAGCCCTCACTTGGGCTTTGGGAGACTGTGCTCAGACCCCATTACCCAGAAATGGGGGAAAATGTGAGCAGCCTGGTTTGGGCCCAGCGTGAGCCAAGTGTGCTTGCCGACTGGGCCTGCTCTGGAGAGCCCTTCCTGGCATGAAGGAGGGCCACACAGTCTACAGTGTGCTCTGTGCCACACTGGTCCTATCAGGAAGAAGATGGTGTGCTCAAAATAGGAGGGTTCACTCACAGGAAGATTCTAGAAAAGTGGGGGGTGGCGGGAACCATAACCAACAGTGTGGGCATGGGCTGGCAGCAGGACGTGGGATGTCGGTGACATCTTCATCAGTTATCCTCAGGAGGCCGCAGGACAGATGGAACCAGCGAGTGGCAGAGCCAGAATCTGAACACTGCCCCTAGTGACTGACACAACAGGGGCTTTCGGACACGTGATCAGCAGACACTTCGTTTCCACCCTGTGGTTGGCCCCACACAAGGTGCTGATTCTGACACCATGGCGTTCCCCATGTGGTAATGGGAACCCTACAGCAGTCCTCCCAGGCAAGGGACATCATCTTCGTCTGGTTCTTTGGCTGTCCAGAAGAGAAAGGGTCTTGCCCAAAGCCTCAGCAATTTTCCAAAGAATGGAGGTTCGGTCACGTGTCTGACTCCTTGGGTCTCACCCTTTCCACAGGGAAGTTTAACTGGGGAGAAAACCAGGTTCTTCTGGTTGAGGAATCTCTGTCAAGAACTTGAACATTCAGGAAGAGGGGACCTAGGCTCCTATGAGACCAAGATAGTTTATTTCCCTTCTTAGGGCAAGGACTTAAATAGCAACTAAAATGTTCTTAAGTGGGCTAAAATGCAAGGCCAGGTTGAGGGAGGTCCCTGGGCCATGTTGAGCTGGGCAGGAGAGGAGGCTGCTGCTGAGAGGGGAGGGGAGGCCTGTGGGGCTTCTTGTCCGGTGGACTAGGCCCCTGGAATGTACATAATGAAAATGCTGCTGGTAAATCTGAGAGCCCCAAATGCGGAACAGTTTAGGACTGTGGTCCCCTACCCCTAGGCATGGACCAGTATCGGTCCATGGCCTGTTAGGACCCAGATGCACAACAGGAGGTGAATGCAGGCAATCCAGCGAAGCTTCCTCTCTAGTTACAGCCACTCCCTGTTGCCGGCATCACCTCCTGAGATCCTCCTCCTTCACATCAGCTGCAGCCTTAGATTCTCAGAGGAGTCCAAACCCTACTGTAAGCTGCGCCTGTAGGAGTCTGGGTTGTGTGCTCCTTGTGAGAATCTAATTCTCCCTAACTGCCCCCACCTGGGTCTGTGGGACATTATCTTCCATGAAACTGGTCCCTGGTGCCAAAGATGGTGGGAACTGCTGGCGTAGGAGGATGAGGTGGGGTGCCGTGGAAGGGAGCAGCCTGCTGTCTAGCTTCCATATTGGGGTTCTGCTCTGGGACACAGCTAGGGTCTTTCTGGTGCTCAGAGGCAGGGATGTACTAGATCTATACAGAGTGATCAGCAACACTGCATCGCAGCCGGCACACGGTTCTCAAAGTGGGCCCTGAACCAGAAGCATCAGCATTGCCTTGGAACTTGTTAGAAATGGAGATTCTCAGGTGCAAGGACAAGTCGGTCCCCTCAAATGCAAGCCACGGTGGCAGGTGCTGATTTCCAAGGGGACTGCTGTGCAAACAGGCAGGTCCCCTGTATTACACAGCATAAGGGTGGCCTTAGAGATGCAAGGACTAAAAACAATCCTATAGATGCACAGTGGGTCAGTGGGTGGTACATATTTAATGCTTTAACATAGGCATAAGATGTTTAATGGTTAATTCTGGGTAGTTGGGATCTCCATCAACTCAAATATTTATCATTTCTTTGTGTTTGAGAATATTCTAAATCTTTTCTTCTAGCTATTTTGAACTGTACAATAAATTATTCTTAATTATGGTCATCTTCTCGGGCTATTGAACACTAGGACACATTCTATCTATAGAACTGTCTATTTTTTCGTACCCTTTTTCGTACCCCCGCATCCCCACTGTCCCTAGCGCCTGATGCCCACCATTCTATTCTCTACCTTCATGAGATCAATTTTCTTAGCTCCCATATATGAGTGAGGACATGAAGTATTTGACTTTTTTTTGCCTGGCTTACTTCACTTAACATCATGTCCTTCAGTTCCATCTATGTGGTTGCAAATGACAGGTCCTAATGACATTGCTTCACACAATTAGAAAAAAAAATACTAAAATTCATTTAGAGCCACAAAAGACTTCAAATAGCCAAAGAAATCCTGAGTCAAAGAGCAAAGCTGAAGCCATCACTGCAAAATGCACTACACAGCCATAGTAGCAAAGTCAGTGTAGTACTGGCATAAAAACAGACACACAGACCAAGGGAACAGAATAGAGAGCCCAGAAATAAATCAGTGCATTTACAGCTAGCTCATTGTTGTTAAAGGCCCTGAGAGCATGCACGGGGAAAAGACATTCTGTTAAGGAGTTCTGCTCTCTAGTGCAGTGGTTCTCAAAGCGCGTAGCCTGGACCAGAGGCAACACCAACGTCTGTCAACTTGTTAGAAATGCAAACCCAGGTGCTTGCCCCAGACCTATAGAATCAGCAATCCCTGCTCACATGCCCTCAACGCACTCTCAAATTTGAGAGCCACTGTTTGGGGTCACTGATTCCTAATAGAAGGGAGCATGTGTGGGAAGCCCTAAGATGAGGTCACTCAGACCACTAAGGCGCGGTCACTGGGGCTGAGTGAGGGGGATGGGGATAGATTCCCCAAGGGAAATGGTGTACCTGTGACAGGCATGGAGAAATGATGCAGGGTGATATGGTGATGCAAGGAGCAGGGTAAAGAGGTGTGTAGACAAGAGCCAAGGGTACAGGTCAGCGCTTGCCAAGATTCAGGGCAGACAGAGTAGCAGGGGTGCAGTGAGGGGATGGGGGCACTGCTAGGATTTAGACTCCAAGTCCACTGGACCCAGCTTGCACCAACTCCTGCGTATACTCACACTTCTTGCTGATCTAATCCACTCCCCAACAATGAGCCCTACTAACCGCAGGTATTGTACACAATGTTGGGAGGGGGAGATGTTGGCATGATGGATGGTGTGTGATTCTTCCACTTGAGGAACTCACCTAGAAGGGAAATGAAAATATGAACCAGCCATCATCACACTGTGGTGTGTAGTAGGATGCTGGAGGAAACTTCGGGAAGTGGAAGGGGCAGATGAGTTCCTGTCTCGTGAGTTAAGGACTTTTGGCGTCTGCACGATGCATCCACTGAGCGCTGGCATCCTCTGTGGGGGGGGATGGGAAGGCAGGCCCAGCAATGGGGATGGTGGCTGCATCCGCACTGTGAGTCAGGCCCCATAGTGTTTTTGTATCGCAGTAACAGTCCTCACAAACACCCGATGGCCTTGCAAGATGGGGAAGAACACAGCACCATGTTCAGGGTTTATCCCGATGGGCAGACATTGAGGTGTCTTCAGGGGGAAATGGTTTGGGCACAATTCTCTGAGCCGCTGGCTCTCAGTTCTGCCTGCAGGTGAGAGTAGCCTGCAGAGCTCACTGGAAGGAAACAGCTGCCAGGCCCCCCTGGGGACAAGAAGTTGAGTCTTGGCCTGGGACCCCGGGGAGAGCTGGAGCCGCCATGCACGGGCCCCTCTGAGTGCCGTGAAAGGGGGTTCAGGGTAAACACAACCAAAAGTACAGAGTGGCTGACTTTCATATCTGTGTTCTGTTTTTCTTTTAGAAATGTCGAAATCAAACGTGAGTATCCATTTTCCTTCTCCACTTATCTTCATTGTAGAAATTTTACAATCTGTTTTACTCCTAAAGATTCATTTTTCAAACAAATATATAGTGAGTCCCGGTGGGGGATGGGCCTGAGTTTCCCTGTGAGAGGTCCTGGTCCTTTTTAGACTAACTGGAAAACTAGATGCTTTAACTCATCTGTATGTGGAATGATTAATGGACGGGAACAAAACTACTGAAATTCTAGTTTCCATCTCTGGATTGTCCCTGATAAGTAACCCAATGGGCATTGGCTGCTTGTTTGAGGATCGGGACGGGCAGGAGCACATCTCCATCCTGTGCTGTTTTCTCTCCTCAGAGTTGCTTTGGTTACCCCCTGAGCATCTTCTTCATCGTGGTCAATGAGTTCTGTGAAAGATTTTCCTACTATGGAATGAAAGGTAATAGGTTTGACCATTTCTCACCCTTCAGGGAAGGGCAAGAGTCACTTGGCTGGTCTTAACTTTGTTTCCCCTCCTCTCCACCTGCCCTCTGCAACTAGCAATCCTGATTCTGTATTTCAAGAATTTCATCAGCTGGAATGATAATCTCTCCACCGCCATCTACCACACGTTTGTTGCTCTGTGCTACCTGACGCCCATCCTTGGAGCCCTTATTGCTGACTCATGGCTGGGAAAGTTCAAGTGAGTGGTTGGAAATGCTTGGTCAGGTTTCAGAAACAGGTGTATTCATGACTGGGCTCTTGTCAGTGTTGGAGGAAGAGGTCTTTTGTGCTAGAATCAGCAGTGGGCAGCTATAGTGTAATTAACTGGGATTCTCTTAACGCTTTTAAACACAGGACCATTGTGTTTCTTGTTCACAAACAAGCCACAGGTAAATGTAAACTTTCTGGTTTTGGATGGTGGAATCTGGGAATAGAGAATTAAGGAACATAAACTCTTAGGATAGCCTAGCACACTGCCTGACATTTAGCAATACCAGTAACATGAGTAGGTTTCTGTCCTAATGCAAACAAATATGAGATCTTTGTCTTATCTTGAAGTAGTAACAGAGACAGGCCATTCATGATTTGTGAGCCAGAGTTAAAGGCCAGGAAACAAAGACACTCTCTAATACACATGCTGGCTACCGAGTGGCTCAGCTGCTCACTGGGCAGAGAGGACATGCAGTGTGAGCTCACTAAGGAGAGCCCTCTCCCAGCCCTGCAGGAACTGCTCCAAAAGCACATCCAATGGGAGGCCACCAGGAAAGTTCCTGGGATTTAATGAAGAAGGAAGTAGAGGCTCTGCTGGGCCAAAGGAATGACACAGGCTGTCTTCATTTAGTCAAGTTGCTATAAAGGAATGACTGAGATTGGGTAATTTATAAATAGAAAAGATTGATTCGGCTCAGGATTCTGCTGGCTGGAAGATTAGGCAGCTGGTAAAGCCTGAGGCTGCTTCCACTCATGGGAGAAGGGCACAGGGAGCCAGTGTGTACAGAGATCACATGGAGAAAGCAAGATCACAGAGAGGAAGCAAGAGAGACGGGTGGGAGCTCCTGCAGGAACTTCTGGAGTGAGAATTCACTCAGCCATGAGGATGGCACCTCAAGCCACTCCTGAGGGATCTTCCCCATGACCCAAACACCAACACTGGGGATCTAATTTGAACACGAGGATTGGAAGGCCAAACAAAACAAACAGGACAGAAGCAAGAACATTCGCTACCTCAACAGAATTCTACAAAAATACAGAGTGGTCCACTCTTGGATCAGTATTATCACCAGGCCCAAGATAAGTAACTCTCACTGCTCAAAGATATGAATACTCCTTTCTGCAGTTAGGTAAAATAAAACACTGGGTCTTTTGAACAGTTGAAAGGCAAAGTGGATCTTACCCTTCTCCTGGCCTTCCAGCCAAAACAATGCATAAAGTTCCTGAGAGTTACCAGTTTCACTCATGTTTGAGAAACAAGTATATTCATGGCACCTTTAAAGGAAGGGGTCTTTTGTGGTGGAGTCATCAGTGGGCAGTTATAATGCAATTAAGTTGGATTCTTTTAACCTCTTAAACACAGGACCATTGTGTCTCTGTCCATCGTCTACACAATTGGACAAGCAGTCATTTCGATAAGCTCAATTAATGACCTCACAGACCACAACCACGATGGGACCCCTGATAGCCTTACTACACATGTGTGAGTTGATCCCCACCCTTCCACCATGCGCTTCCTTGGTACCCTAATCCTCCTCTTTCTCCATGGACTTCACTGTGAGTACAGAGGCTTTGTCTTCCCTGTTGGCTCTATGGGGAAGGCTGTCCAGTGGACCCCACCCTAGTGGGCATCTGCAGACCTTGCTCCTTTGGAGGCTTGGCTGTCCTGGGCTGTCACATCCCACGTGAT